TCATATTCCTTCAGGAGCTCCTTCCTGGTCCCTCTCTACCCTCTCAGACAGAGTTCCTTAGCCTGGTGTGTTCTGGGTTTCTGGATTTAAATGATAAGAACTTTAGGGTATAGGAAGGCTCCCTGGTTCTGCCCTTCCCAGGAACTTCCCATACCTGCGATAGTCAGCTGCCCTTTCACCTGGACCAACAAATAGTTCAGAAGAAATTTGAGGGAAGATTTGGAAAAGCACCCTTCTGGTCGTTCCTCAAGATGGCCACCAGGTGTCAGACTTTGTCCAGAAGGAAAAAGGTTCTAGTTATTCCCTAAGAGCCATGTCCTGGAGGTCAAGGCAAGTTGGGGAAGAACTTCCAAGTTCTCTATGAACTAGCCAGTCGAGAGACCCTGACTATTAAGATAAAAATGACTGGAACTCAGCTCTCACCCTTATTTCCTCGCTATCTTTGTCACTACTCTGCTACAAGGGTTTTGCCCCTTCCTACTAGGAAATTTGGAGACCAGACTGAGTCAGGAAGCTCAAGAATTGAGAAGACAAAGGCAGGGATAATTAAGGCTCCAGAGAAGAAGGGAGGAAGCAACCAGGCTTGTATTGCTGACCTTTGTGTTCTAGGCTAAGGGGAACAGAGGACCATCTTCTGCCTTCTCCATTTTGAGTAGCTGTGGCTGTGAATGTGAACGTGTTTGTGTAAGGTAAGTGCTTGGGTGAGTTCCATCACTGCGGAGGGGTCCCTCAGTCCTAGCTGCTGTGTCATTCTCTGGTGCCTTGCTTCTATGACTCCAAAGGGGTCCAGGTTGATTTGTATGTTTGTTTCTCATTACCTGGGCTTCTGACTCTAAGACCACACTTAAGAGTTGTAACCTGCCAGGCAATGGTTGTGCACAACGTTAATCTCAGCACTCAGGTGGCAGAGGCAGTGGATCTCTGAGTTCAGGCCAGCCTTCATTTACATAGTAAATTCAAAGTCAGCCTGAGCTACAAGGAACTGTCTTGAAAAGCCAGGAAACAAAGGAAGAAAGAAAAGGAAGAAAGGAAGGAGAAAGAAAGGAAAATGGAAGGAAGGAAAACTAAAACTCTGAGATGCTCTCTGAACCTTTTCTCACCATAGCTTTCTGTACCTGTGAATCCCAATGCTCCCACATGAAGCATCTCTTCAGTCTGTTCCCTGCCTTTGTTCCTTCTACTGTCTACTCCGCCTGTAGTGTGTGGTACAATGGCTCACAACTGCTCAACAATTCCATTTCGAGCTCCCTAGGGTCCCTCATGTCATGGCTTTGCCATTCCTGTTTGCTGGTCCTTGATCTTGAAAGATGTCTCTCTTCACTCTGCCTCCACCTCTTGCCTAGGTGCTCTGTCTCCAGAAGTCCTATGTCGTTAGGGGGAAATGAGCAAGAGTGGAGATGAAAGGGACTTGACTTCCTCCTTGTCTCCAGACAGACATGTGTATTGGAAACCTCATTGGCATTTTATGTTCTTGGAGATGCCAAGAAGATGTCCAGGAGACAAAAAAAAAAAAAAGGAAGGAAGGAAGGAAGGAAGAAAACCATACCTAGGAGAAAAGGCAGCTTCCTGGAGGCTAGGGCCAGCGCTGAGGAGGCTCTGGGTAGAGGCAAGCTATTTCTGGCTTGGTAGGAAATGCCACGAATGGGACTCACAGGAAAAAATGTGTTTGCTAAGATCACCTGGTTCTTTTCTCGAACTCACAGAGATCTGCCTGCTCAGCCTCCTGACTGCTAGGATTAAAGGCAAACAGCACCACTGCCCAGCATGCCATTTCAAAGGTTCCTATGGGGTGGGCATGATGGCACATGCCTATCACCCAGACTCAGGACACTGTAGCAAGAGGACCATTATGAATTTTAAGTGAGCCTAGTTTACATAGCTCCCTGTATCCAAAAACAATCAAGTTGCCTGTGGTTTCCTAACTGCTGAAGTTAGTGTGTTTTCAAGGGCGTTCCCCTGGCTGCCTAGAATCCCCTGAGCTGGACTGATCTCCAACCTCAGGGTGAGTGGCAGGGCCTGAGGAAGTGGTGGGGGTTAAAAAGAGGGACAGGAAAGGGATATATATATATATATATATATATACACACCTTACATCCCAAGTGAGCCTGGGCAGCCGCTCTCCTCCCTCCCTTCTGCCTGCCCCATCTTCTCAGCTGTCAGGCTTTCTCCATATAATCCATCTCAAACTGGGGAGAGGGGCTTTCAGGGTGTGAGAGTGTGTGAATGTGTGTGTGAATGTATGTGTGTGTTTGTGTGTGTGTGTGTGTGTGTGTGTATACAGTGCTGACCCCACACCCCCAACTACCACACAGAGGGAAGCCACTCTTAGTCTGCTTTCCATTGGAGCATTCAGCAAAAACCTCCACTTTCTTTCAGTTTCTCTGGAGCATGAGACTGCTGATCAGCTCTCAATTTCTAAGACACTCTTGTTTTGGACAGTCTTTACATCAGTTTAAATCATATTACCAAAGCCTTTGCTGTCAGGAAGTGTGCTAAAATACTACCTGGATGTATGGCTAAGCAATCCTGGAGCTTGCCCTCAAAATGCCTGAGGAGACTAACCCGTGTCCTGCCCTGACCCATCTTCTCCACCTGTCCAAAATCTTCATGTCCTCTGAAATGCTGTTTGTTTGTTTATTGCTGCTTTTTTTTTTTTTTTTTTTTTTTTTTTGAGACAGGGTTTCTCTGTAGCTTTGGAGGTTGCCTTGGAACTCACTCTGTAGACCAGGCTGGCCTTGAACTCACAGAGATCTGCCTGTGCTGCCTCCTAAGTGCTGGGATCAAAGGCATGTGCCACCAACCACCACCAACCACCAGCCTGAAAATGGTTTTGGATCCCACTGTGTTGTAATGCGAAGGGTACATTGAACACTTGCTGTGCCAGGCACTAGAAATCCATCAATGGCTCCAAGCACTCCAAGTGCTCCCAGCCCAGACCCTTCACACCATTAGGTACAGCCCTCTGTCCTAGACTTACATTTGCATGGTCTGCCTCCTTGACTTATATTTATTGGTTCTCTTTTCCATCATGTGGGTTCCAGAGATAAAACTCAGGTTGTTTGGCTTGGCAGCAAGCATCTTTACCCACTGAGCCATCTTGCTAGTCCATTGTCTTGGGTCTTTCTACATTTAAGCAAATCTGCCTCAATGTATCCTGGCATTTATGGGAGATCGCCCCACTCCCTTTTCTATTTTGTTCCAACTTTAGTTTGGAGCCTGATCTGGGTGCTAGCACAGAGGGAACAAAAAAGAAAAAGAACTGATCGTGGTGGTGTATGCAGTGGTCAGGGCAGGAGAACTGCAAGTTCAAAGGCAGCCTATGCCCCAGAGTGAGGAAACCTCTGGGAATGGGAAGGAAGAGGAGGGAGAGGAAGGAATGGAAGGGGAGGAAGGGGAGAGAAAATGAGAGAAGGAACAAGGGGTGGGGGGAATACTAAAGAGAAAGACTTGGAGCCTGCCTGACTCTAAGGAATACAGCAGCTAATCATATGATCTCATGAACTCCTCAAAGACAGAACTCTTGCTTTCCTTATTGCCTTCCTTCTAGCCCCTGTGTAATGTTTTGCATATGACAAGCAAGCATTTGTAAGTGTCTGGACAGATGTCTCCGTCCATAGAAGAGGACATGTTCCACTTGGGTCAGGTGACTCGAGGACACGACACTGAGGCTGGCTAGCCCATGGGCAGTCAGAAGCTCCTCCACCTACACCCTCACTTCCGCCTTTTCTAGGAGCTCATATGCTTGCCTTATCCAGTACATCACATGGATGTGCTTCTATACCTTATTATTTCAGGGAAGCTGATCTCTCTTCCCAAGTAGATTGTACATTCCACAAGGGCAGGAGCCAAGTTAGGTTTGAGTCTTCTTTTGGCTTCAATATACCCAACCAGCATAGGGAGGGGCAAGTAATTGGGTCTTTAAAGTATCTGTCAACTGACAGGCACGACCATCATTTGTTTCTTCCTTGCTTAAGGCATTATCGTTAGGACGTTCTTATCATAAAATATCCACGTGTATATCCACGTGTTTCCTGGGAGCAATTAACGCACTAATTTACCCAGTATCTCATAACTAGAATGTCATGACATAGGGATGTTTCAACTAATCTGTAATTACTACAATGATTGCTGCTAAGGCCAACTACCTGAAATTTCTATCACTATCACCCTCTCTAACCATTTCATTATCCCCACTTCACAGATGGGGAAACTGAAGACAAGAAAACTTTGTCTAAGGCTATCCAGCTAGCAGGCTATAAAATGACATTGGAGGGCTGGAGAGATGGCTCTGTGGTTGAGAGCACTGGCTGCTCTTCCAGAGGACCCAGACTCAATTCCCAGCACCCACATGGCAGATCACTACTGTCTATAATTCCAGAATCTAGCAGCCTCACACAGACATGCATACAGGCAAAACACCAATAAAATTGAAAAAAAAATTTTAATTGTTTAAATTAATTAAACAATGACATTGGAGCTTATATTAGCCATCCCATTCTGCTCCTCCAAATAGGCTTTTACACTGGAAGGAAAAAAACAGACCCATAGCAAAGAACCCTGACTTAGCTAGCAGAGGAAGTGAGGTGAGGGCTCTAGCAGGCAGCCCCCGATGGGAGCCTGGGGAAATTTGGGGCTGAATGTCAGGGGTTAGTGATTAGCAAGAGTCAGAGATGAGCACAACAGCTCTCCCCACTAAATGTAGGTTGAACTAGAGTGGAGAAATTCAAAGCCAAACAAACCTTGGGAGCCAGTAAAGCAGTCCAAAGGCAAGGAAGACTGGCAAATGTAACCCAACACAACTTTGAGGACGACAAAGGTATGTCATGTGTGGCAAAGAAATGGATGGGTTCCCGAAGACTGTGTTCCACCAGGGCCAGGAGAAAGAGCCTGGACCCCAAGCTCTGTACATCTAGGTATAAGGAAACATGGGAATCAGCAGGCAGGGCTAGGGTTATTAGCAGTGTGCCTCAGGAAGACCATCAGACCAAACAGAGTCCAAGTTCTGGGGAAAGCATTTTATTTGTTAATACAAGAATAGAAATTCTGCAATAAATATCATCTAATAAATAACATCTCCAAATAAATAAATATTAATACAACAAACTTAAGAGTCATGAGTGGGTGGGGCTGGGGAATAGGGCCTGGGGGAGCCATCCCCCTCACCCCACAATGCTACTGCAATGTAAACTTTCAGGAAACCCTGTGGCTGTGGCTATGGCTGCCCTCCCCAGCCCAGGCAACCACAGATACCCTGGGAAAGGGGACAGAAAGGAGGCACCGTGATGCCGGCAAGAAAATTCAAGGCAAGGTCCTGATGCTCAACATGGCTTTTGTTTTCTGCCCTGTGCCACCAGTTGTCTTGGCAACAGCTGGGTCTGGTCTGTCCCTGCCCTTCTCTCCTAGTATTCCATCTTCTGGTTTCTAGGCCATCTCTGGTACAGACCTACCCCTCCACTCTCCATCACACCCTTCTTTAGACTGGTTACCTTGTTTCCTGAACTGGATATGTATTTATTGGGGTAGGGGAGCAACACCCATCCAAGGAGAGGGAGGGAAGCCAAGGGGCTTTACCCCAGAAAGGCACATGCTACAGTGGCCCCCACCCATGCCCTCCAGGTGTGCTTCTGCAAGTGCCACATGAGGAACCGAGTGGGCACTGGCAAGTGTCGAGCAGAAAGCGGGAGGCAGAGAGCACCTTTATACCCACCTGAGCCATTTGACTCCCTCAAGTGTTAACTCTGTGAAAACAGTATGGTGCCCATTTCACCATTTCTCCAGACCCTAGGACTCTAGGACCTAGTCAGGGGACAGGGCTTATGGAGTTATACTCCCCATCTAAGGCAGAGGAGGACAGAGTTCCCACTGTTTGTTTCCTGGCTCAACAAATGTTGGTATACAGGTTTTTTCCCACCCCAGAGTGGAAGCACAGCCGACTGGGGTAGGGGGTTGGGGACAGTTAAGAGTCAAAGATCAGAAGCCATGGGCCTCCAAGTGCAGGGTGACTGAAGCTGCTGGGGGCTGCATCTTCTTCTTAAGCCGGTTGAAGTCCTTGGCTGAACGCCACAGCCAGGTCTGCAGCTCCTTCAGCAGCCAGAAGTCATCCATCTTCTGGAGGAAGTCACTGTGGGCAGGGCCAGGGGCCCAGGCTGGCTCAGTCCCTGGCAGAGGCTGGGGCAGTGGGTAGCCGAGAGCTGCCATGACACCTGCAATGCTGCCCAGCAGGCCCTGGAGACTGGTACAGAAATGGGCCAGACTGCGTCGTAGTTCGGCTGTGGCAGCTTGACGGTTGAGGCCACGCAAGTAACACAGAAGGTGGCTGTAGGCCTCATAGTTCTGGGTCAGCCGCAGTTTGTCATTGAGGCTTCGCCACACTTCCAAGTTGACAGTGGCCCTGGGCAGGGTCTCTGCCCCCAACCGAGGAGGATTGAAGTCAGGCTCATTGAAAGGGGGCCCCAGGTAGTTCAGCTGTGAAAAGGAGAGGGCGATGGGGAGGAAGGAGAGCAGAGCTGCCAGCCTGCCACCAGAGAGGTACCTCCTCCCAAACATGGCAGGCCTCTGTTCATAGACCTGAGTTTTTCCAGCAAGGGTGTCGTTTGCATAGAGGTGACCAGTGAAACAGTAGGGGTGATGAGCTCTCCTATGGAGAGGTGTACCAGGGGAAAACCACAAAGGAGCTGCTCAGGAAGGACTTGCTGCCGGGTTGGGCGGAGAGTGCCCACCGCAGGGCAGGGCAGAGAAGAAGGCCCGGAGGAGCGGAGAGGCCAGGCTGGAGAGGTGCAAGGTGGCCTTTGAGAGTGCAGGCCAGGGAAGAGCTCGGGAAGACAGCAGAGCTCCACAGGGCAATTGCAGAACATGAGAGTGAACGGCAGGAAATGCTGTCTGCTTTGGTGAGAAGATGCCTGATGACCTGGGAGAGACAGTTGCTGTGGCCTGGAGGCCAGATTGCAGGGGGTTAAGAAATGAGTGGGTGGAGAGGAAGTGGAGGCAGAGGGTGTAGACGACTCCTTCAAGAAATTTGGCAGAGGGAGTCAGGAGAGAAAGGGTCGGGAATGAGAGAGGGTAGCAGACTCAAGCAGAGGGTTTCTGCACAGGGAAACCAGCCAGAAGAGACTCTGTATCAAAGGCCAAGGGGGTCTGGTGGCACCAAAACTCCTCTTCAAGGCCCAGTTCCTCAAGCAAAAGGACAAGGGATACTCACCAACACCCCAGAGAAGAAGATTCAGATGCTAGGAGCAGAGCTGTAAAAGGAAGAAACTGAGGACATCTCAAGAGGGGACAGGAGGAAGGGCAAGCAAGGCAGGAGAGTATAGGGAAGAGGGCAAAGCCCTTGCCAATGCCTCAGGGGAACAGCCTGAGGCCCAGGGAAGGGGATGTGGGAGATGTTCAACTGGGAGGGAAAGAAAAGAGGGGCGAGGCTTGGGATAGGCAAGGGCCTAGGGGGAGGTTCACACGCTGACAAGCACACAGACAAACTAATTTCCTCGGTGTATCCTGGGGCTGGAGCCAGCTCCCCCGCCACCCTCCTCCCCCCTCTTCCCTGGCTCAGGAGTAGGGTCTGGGATGTGGAAGAGGAACACGGGAAGAGGGGCCTGTTCCCCATGGTCCTCAGCGCCTCCCATCCTCTTCCCTTCTCTCCTGGGCTCTATGAACCTCCCTGGACTACCCTCAAATTCTTATGATATAGCCACCTTCCATACCCTGAACCCCTTGCAGGGACTGCTCTGGATTCTTTGTAGACCCCTGCTCTGACCCCCCCCCCAGAGGCCTGTGAGGATGGGAGAGGCAGAGAGAGGCCCATGAGTCTAGAACAGCAGGGCCCCAGGTCTGGGGGTAGAGTCAAGCTGGAACACAAGCTAGAAGGTGGGGCCCCTCCATCCCCACCCAGCCCCGCCCTTGCAAGAGACACCACAACACGGTGTAAACAGAGGAGACTTCCCCAGCCCCCAGGGGGAGGCAGGCAGCTGGGCTGGCAGCCAATGGGGCAATGGGCCAAGGCGGGTTCGAGGCCTGCCCACATGCCTAGTCCTGGGGCCAGGATGGGGGGGGGGTACCTGAGAGGGAAGGGCAGGAGATAGGCCAGATGGAGAAACTGTGTGGACCCAAAGGGTCTCTCATCACCCCATCATTCACCAGGACCCCTGCACCATGCTATCTCTTCCCAAAAAGCCTCTGCTCCCTCTTTACCAGTGCCCAAAATAAATGGGATACTCACATAGGTCCCAGCCAAGCTGCGGAGTTGGTGCTCCAGGTAGCGGGTGAGGTCATAAGTTTTCTGGATGGAGGGGCCAGGCCCTGGATCTCCTGTGCGATTAAGAGCTGGCACTGCAGGGAGGTGCCACAGCACCGTGCACAGGCAAGCTAACATCCCCCACGAGTCCCCTGTGGACAGGATGGGCAAGAAGTATGAGGGTGGGCCCAGGCCCAAGTGGGGAAACTGCTGGCAGCCCCTAAGGTGTCTGTCCCCACCTTGGGCTAGGAAGGGGGGGTGAGGGTGAGGGACCAGATGGGTGGTGGAGGGGATGGAGGAAAGGGAAGCCTTCTGGTCCAACAGCGTATGTGGAGGTATGTGTGCAAGGACAAAGTCCTGGCATTTGTGTCTATCAGTAGATACTTGCCTGCATCTGTCAGCTGAAAGTCTTTGTCATGTATGTCACTTTATGTGCCAAAATTGTGTGTGCGTGTGTGTACTCAGAGGGGCAGGCCAGGCTTTAGGGACTTTATGTCGATATGTTGGAGGTACACTTTTGTCTCAGCCTCTTCTCCATGTCTCCTAGTCCCACTGCAGCAGGCACTGAGGGATGGGAATATGGCATATATTAATTCTGGCAAGCTGTGAGCAGTGAGCCCTGTGGAAGAGTGACGAGAGAGGCAGCAGCCATGAGAGGTAGGAGTAGGTTCTGCAGCCAAGGTCATGCTGAAGGGTTCAAGATGGTTTGTGGAGAGAGGAGTAGTGGGTATATACTAGGATACAGTTCCTGGTTGTGATGAGGGTCTGATGGAGTTATTTGAAGGAGATGTAGCATCATCTTAGTAGCAACATAGAAGTTTGATTACCCCTCACTATTTTTTTTTCCTGTAGTGCTAGAATTAAACACAGGACATGCAGGCAAGTGCTATGGGACATGAATTAGAGCCCCAGCTCTTATCTATTTTTTGAGACAAGGTCTCCCTAAATTGCCCAAGCTACTTGTGAACTTATGGTCCTTCTGCCTCAGTCTCCTCAGTAGCTGGGATTATAGGCCTGTACTAACAGGCCCTGCCAATGTCTGCCCTATCTTTATCTGTGGTGTTAGAGGGGGAACATCAAGGGAAAGAGGTGAGTTTAAAGAGGCAGGCTGATCCACAGAAGACAATGGAGCATTTGATTATCCCAGAAACCAGGAGTTGAGGCTGGGAGAAGGATCAGAGTCAGGTGGGAAATACCTTTCTAAAGGGCTTTTTAGGTAAGGTCTAAGGTCAAAATCAGTACCTATCGGGCTAGTGGAGGGTAGAAATATAATTAGCCATGGGCTAGGTTAGACTTAAAGAGTAGATTAGTCTTAACATGATTTTAGACTTGGGATTTGGTTGAGTGAGTGTGGTTGAGATTGAGTCCAGGAGGGCTATGTGGTTAGGTTTGGGCAGGCAGGAGGTTAGTTGGCACTAAGATCTGTGAATGGTGTTTGGCATGTCACAAAAAGCAGGCCTAGTTTGGGTTTTAAGCTTGGATAGGTATGAGGTCAAGTGGTTTCTTTACTTTTACATTTTATACTTCCAGATTTTTCTGTAATGACACGTTTCTTAGAAGCAAGTGGATAGGCTTAACGATCTGACTGTATTCAGACTCAGGGCAGGGTTTGAAGTTAAGAAAGCATGAAGACTAGGTTAAGGTTAGAGTCTGTCATAATGCTAAGCCTTTAAAAGTCACTGTCCAGGCTCAGTGACTGGAGAGATGGCTCAGAGGTTAAGAGCACTGCTCTTCTAGAGGTCCTGAGTTCAATTTCCAGCAACCACATGGTGGCTCACAACCATCTATAATAAGATCTAGTGCCCTTTTCTGGGCAGAACATTGCATACATAATAAATAAATAAATAAATAAATAAAATTTAAAAAATCTTAAAAAAAAAAAAAAAGGAAGTCACTATCTAGGACTGTTTGTCACATGTAGAACACAGGAGGCAGCTGAGACTTTTGCTGTGGCACAGATACTCAGTACAGACACTCAAGTGCTTGACTAAGTCAGCTTCGCAGGTGGAGCATGGGAGGAATGGGTATCCCATTACAGAGAACCTTGTCTTTAGAATGAAAGGATCTTAGCTTGAGTGTGTGTGTGCACGTGCACATACATGAACATATATCCATATATATGTGCAAGTTCATGTGTTTGTTCAGACAGCAGGATTAGACACTTAACTGCTCCCTGGGCAAACAGGCTCCACTGTCCACTCTCCTATGTGGAGCCTGCATTCCTTCCTTGGTCCTTTCCATCCCTAGTTCTTACCTAACTCTGTTTTTCTACTCCCTGATGATCAAATCCCCTAATATGTCCAAGTTCTCCTCTTCTGTACCAAGCCCTGGGCATCTGGCTAAGTCCCCTGAAGGACCCTGTGGTATCATATAGGGTTAGTTTTAGAGACTAGAACTATGATGAGTTGAGCAGTGGCCCTTCCAACCTCAAAACAGCTTTTAAGATGAAGTATGGTTTTGCTGGAAGTTAGTGGCATTGCCAAAGTCCTGCCAAAGCATAAACTGGAGGCTTGGCTGGCCTCTTCACCCCACCCTGCCAGAGGCAGCCCTGTCATCCAGAATCCTGGACTAGGCTCTGTCTGTCCCATAACAGGAGATATAGTCAAGAGCCCACCCTGAAGCTTGTTTCCCCCTCCCTTCCTGGGCGCTGTGGGACATCCCTGGGGAGAATAGCTCCTTACACAGGGACAACAGGGGGAGAAGAAGCCTTTGGATAAACAAAAGCTAAGTCATCTGGGCAGAAAAACGGCTAGTGAAATTAACCAGACGAGGCCGGTGTTTCCAGGAATATTTCAGTTCTGAGGTAACTGTATCACTACAGGCTGGGGGGTGGGGAACACTGGAGAGCAGAAGGAGCCTACTGACCAGTCCTGGACAGAAGCAGAAAGAAGCGGGAGTCATAGGAATCAGAGTGGAGGCCAGTAGAGAAGGAAGGTCAGGTTAAGTACAGGACTCAGCTGTCCTAACACAGCTCTGATCTTGGGCAAGATGTGCCTTTATCTCAGGCAGCCAAGCTGGAAGGTCTGGACAGAGAACACCTGAGTGTAAGCACTGATCCAGGGGCTCCCAGTGCCCAGGGGCAGGCTTGGTAGAGCCCAACTCTGCTTCCCTCTCTAGCTCATAGCATGCAGGTGGACCCCACCGTCAGCTGCATCCCAGCCCCTCCCCCAGCCTGGTCCCCAGCCCCAGCCCCTCTGGCTGCTGCCCACTGATTGTTTACATCCCCTTTCCGTGTGTTTATAAATCCGGCGGAGCACGTGAGGAACTAATGAGTGCAGCTCACGTTTCCTGCGGCAGCACCCCTACACTCCCCATCCTGGCCCCTGCCAGGGCCAGCCCTAATTCTATCCAGATCCCTGGGCCCCGGGAAACAAGGCCCTCCTCATGAATGCGTGCATGCTCTCACACACACACACGCTCACACACACACACACACGCTCACACACACGCTCACACACACACACACACGCTCACACACACACTCACACACACTCACACACACGCGCTCACACACACGCTCACACACACTCACACACACGCTCACTCACACACGCTCACACACGCTCACACACACACTCACACACACACACACGCTCACACACACACACACAGCCTTAGCCCCATCAAGCCCAAGGGCCACCCCCACATGCTACACAGGCAGGCCCTCTGCCAACCTCCCCTCAGCTCCTGGCCCATCTCATAGGCTGACCACCCTCAGTGAGGGTGGGGGGCTCAGCAGTGCAGATGTCCAGGGTTGATGGGGGAGACTGCACCTGGGACTAGGGGCTAACAGCTGTAAGTCCTAGAATTAGGTCCAGAAGTCCTATAGGCTAGGCAATATGGGAGCCAGAAGAAAGGTCCTGCCCTCAGTCCAGACCAGAACCAGCCAGCATCTGGGTGACCTTGGAGAAGTCCATTGAGGGGACCTGAGGGAGTAGCCTAAGAAGGAATGGGAGATCCAGGGGTCCTACCCAGGGATAGGTCCTTCCATCCTCAAGACTGGCTGCTCCCTTTGCTTTTTCCCTTCATTGGCTTCTGCTTTCTCAGGTCCCCTTCCCCCAAGGCTGCTGAGGAATGGGAGCATTCGTGGGAAGGTAGGCCTGGAAATCAGGAGACCTAGCTTTGCCATAAACACATCTGGTGACAGTGGGCTTCCATAAGGAGACTGCACTGTGCTTGCTAAAGTTCCTCCCAGCTGAATCATGAGAGGTTCCATCTCTGTGTTCTTTCCAACATTCCCATCTTTTTCATCCTCTCCCTTTCTAGTTCAAAATAGAGAAGAAACCAGGGTCAGGAAAAGAAGTAGAAGGCAAGGCAAATCAGACCTTGTGAAGTCAGTCCAGGAGTTGCGCTTGGGCTGAGGGAAAAGCTGCTCGGATGTGCCTGCCACAAGAGGGCTCATGAAGTACTCGGGGAGACGAGAGTGAAACCCATAGCCATAGGCTGAGCAGCTCACTGAGGCCAGAAGCCGCCGAAAAAGAAACGAAGCAAATAGTTCAGAGCAAGCATGTGGGTGAACTGGAAAAGGTGTTGTGGTCGACTATGCAAGGGGGGTGTAGGAGGGGCTGCAGAGTGCAGCAGCCAGGGTGTGAACAGGCAGGTGGGATTATGGGGAAGAATGTGAAGTGTCAGGAGTCAGTAGCTAGTGTGTAGGGGTGGCCTGCAGAAGTGTGAACTGGACACTTCAGTGTGCAGCCCGGAGGCCCATTGCTCCAGTCAGCAGACACTTCTGGGGCTGCCCAGTGACAGTGGCTGCCATTTCTAGTAGTTGCTCCTCTACCTTTGAAGTGTGGCTCCGGGATACTAGAGCTAGAGAGGGGCGTGCCTTGTCTGTTAGGGAAATAAGGGCTTGTATGGGGCAGGGGGCGGGAGGGGGAGACGACGGACGAACGGTATGGCAGTGTGTACTGGACTGAGACGGACGCCTGTCAGAGACAATGAACGTCAGTGATTTCCCTAAGTCAGATTCCAGGGCAGAGAGGTGCGCCTGATGTACTCCACCTCTAGTCTTTCTCTAAGAAAGTCTCTAAGAGTCAGTCCGCCGCCGCTACCATGCTTCCACTGTCTGCCCTCCTTCCTCTTTTGGCAGTTCTTCCTGCCCCTGGGCTCTGGGGAACAGAGATTGGAGGTCTCCCAGAGGGAAGCCTCCTGGAACCCAGTGTAATGAAAGGTAGGTGAGAACGTGGGTGTGGGGACTTGGGAGAAGATGCGCGGACTTTGCTTGAGGGGCTCAGCCCCGAGAACTGAGGCGGCAGCAGTTGGCAGTTCGCTGGCCGTGACCTCTCGATCCCGGACCCCTCCCGGCGGCGGTGGCGCCTTCCCCTTGTGTGGCCCCGGCGCCCCCGGCCCCGCCCCCCAGTCCGCTCCTTCCCTGCGGCGGCGGGGGCGGAGGCGGGGTCCGGGCACCGGGCTCCGGGGCTCGGCTGCGCCGCTGCCCGCTCCGGCGCGTCCACTCCCTGCCCTGCCCGCCCTCCTGCCACGGGCCGCCCTGCCAAGCAGTCGCTCGAGGAGCTGCGGGCAGGTCTCGGCGCTCCCGGGCCGCTGACGGACTTTTTCCTGCTGGGTCCGGCCGGGCTGCGTCTTCTCCCCCAACCCCCTCCCGCAGTAATCACTCCCAGGCCACCGCGGGCCCGGAGCCCCGGCCGCCGCGCCGCCCCTACCTGCCGCTGGCTCCAGAGCGGTGGGCAGCATGGAGGGCTCCGGCCACGCCGCGCGCAGCGTAGTAGCCGGGAGTCCCGCGGCCCGGCCGCCCGGCCCAGCCAGGCTCGCTCTGCCCTCCGCCCTCCTCTCGCGCGCCCTCCTCCCCTCCCCACCGGCCGAGGAAAGAGTTCGGCGCGGCCCGAGGTGTCGGCCTCCCCTCGCCTCCCGCTGCTCGGCCGCCCGCTCCCCCTCAGTCTCCCTCTCTCTCTCTTCCTCTCCTGGCCCCCTCCTCCCGCGCGCCGCGTCCCGTCCCCCCACCCCACCCCCGCACCCTCGCTGCCCGCCTCGGAGTCGCTCGCCCCGACTCTGGCGCGGGGCTCTGTGTCCTCGGGTTCTCTGGGACCCCGCCTCGCCGTGGCTCCAGGTGGCCGCCTGTCCAGGTCTGAGGGTTGTCCAGGCTCCCCGCCGCGCTCTCGGCCATCTCCCGGCTCCGCCAAGCGGACTCCAGGAATGCCGCGTCCCCACCCGGCCCCTCTCGAGGGCGCCCGGCTGTACCTCCCCAGCCCGAGCTCTGCTCCCCGGCCGGGCCCCGGCGTGGGGCTCCGGGGGTGGGGAGGAGGACGGGAACCGGATCTCACTGCTGCTGGGCGGGGGCGGAGGCCGAGGCCTCGGACGCCTGGCTCCTACCTGCTCGGAGGTCCATGGGGCTGGGGGCCGGGCCGGCCGGGCGCGGCTCCTCTCCCAGAGGCTGGCGGAGTGGGAGGGCGAGCCGCGGCTCCGGCGAAGCTTTAATAATCCCATCCGCCAGGCCCACTCGCAGGTTTTTTTCTCTCGGTTTCGCATTTTTTTTTTCGGTGTGGGACATTCTGCAAACTTTTTTTTTTCTGACGTGTAAAGCTGTAACCACAAATTGTAGCAGCCCTCCCCGGGGTGGGGGGGAGAGGGGGGAGGAGAGAAGGGAGGGCTTCTGGGGCTCCTCTCCCTCCCACAACACTGAGGGGGGGGTGAGGTGAGGCTAGGCTGCGACGGTACCACCCTAGGCCTCTTGGGGGAGGGGGCAGGGAGGGCATCGTCCCTCTGCAAACTCTTGAGAACTTGGAGAGGGAGCTGGCCTTGGTGTGGGCTTCTAACTTGGTGTCGGCCAGGGCATGCTGGCCGCTTCCTCTGTGCTCTCTGCCGGGTTTAGGGTCCCTGTGCCCACCCTACCTCTGCCTCTTCATTTCTAACCTTCCCTCCCCCTCCCACTGGAGTAAATGCAATGACACATTCTCTCAAATGCCAGCAAGCTGGCCTCCAAGCAAGTGATGGTGTTTTTCCTGCTGCCCTTTGTCTGGGCTGACCGCCCCCCTTGCCTATTGTCCCACTGCTTGTGTTTGTCCCATTTCCAAAAGCCAGAGCTAAGTGTGGCGCCAGCGGCAGGGGCAGGTGACTAACCAGCTCATAATGCCCCCTGAGGAGGGGAGAGGGCACCAGGGCCCTGCATCTCCCTCAAGTTCACAAGGGTTTCCATTCTTCCCAGTGACCAGGGAGAGTGCATATGGGTGGGGGATTTGTAATTCATTAATCAGCACAAGGCACCGGACCAGTTTCAACACCAGAGGCTTCACGGGTGACTCAGCGGGAACGCGCAGATTCAAGGCCATGAACAGACCAGACCCAGCATCCCGTTTGTGAAATGCTTCCCCATCGAGACATTTGGCATCCTCTTCCCTTTGGGGTTTTGGGTTGTTGGTTTTTCCGGTGGTGAGGTAGGGGTGGTTTGGCAATGAGAACTCTCCCTCCTTCCCCTCAGGCCTGGGTTGGGACTTGCCGAGTGGGAGACCTAGGGGACCCATAAGCCTAGACCCTCCCAGGAGGGTCTCCCTTCCTCCCCCTTCCTCCCTCTCCAAAGGGCTGCCAGGGAGAGTGAGTGAGCAAGAGAGCTAGTACAGAGGAAGCAGCTGTCATCTGGGGCTCGGAGACAGCCCTACTTTGTGATTCTTCTTGGGGTACAGTCGTTTGGTCCCCACGTCTTGGGTGCTTGTTGAAGCATTCCACCAATTAAGTCGGTTGATAATAAGTTGCTGTGTTGTTTATCTGTAGTCCCAACAGGGGCAGATACCAGTGGCAGCCGGACCTGGGAGGTGATGCCTGTCTCTGGAGTGGCATGAGACCTTCATCCCCCCACTTCTGCTGGTGCCCCTGGGGAAGGAGGGCACTCTGCCAGTCTAGCACAGCCCCTCCGGCCGGCCTGTGGGTCAGAGTAGGCATCAGTCATGGCCAGTGCTGGTTTCCCAGGGCAGCGTTTCCCTTTTCTGCACTGGAGAACTGGGGTGGGGGGGTGGGGGGGTGGGGAAGAAGTTTGTTTTCAATTACCTCACTGGAGTGGGACAGACTTTGTTGTTGGGTTGTTTCTTTCTATTTTTTTCCCTCTCTCCCTTCCTTTCTCTCTCCCTCACCCCCCTCTTTTTTTTTTTTTTTTTTTTTTTTTTTTCCCCTGAACAAGAAGAAAAAGCTAGGAATGGAGAGCTGGTCTGGGGTGGGGGCAGGGGACTCCAGAGCATCAGTAGCTGCTCTGATGAAAAGTGCCTTGGAGGGGCCCTTGTGAAAAGTGCTCAGGCCTCCCTCCCCCACCTCCTCCCCACCCCCCACCAGCCAGGGCTCTGGAGTTTCAATGACATTCTTGGCCAATGAGCCTAACCATCTCTTGATGTTCATGGCAAGGTGAAGAAGGCAGATGCCCACAGTAACTGTCCCAGAGTGGCCCAGGAGGTCCCCCTAGCATCCAGTACCTCTTCTGAGGGAAGGGGAGGGAAGGGAGGAGGAACAGCCTGAAAGCCCAGCTTGGGCTGTGCAGCTCCACAGCTCAGCTCAACCCTGGTGGAAAGGCTTTGCAGACAATGTGGTTTGGATTTGGCTGAGCCCCCTCAGCACCTTATAAAGCACCTTGCTGAGTCTGGGGAAAGCAGCCTCAATGAAGAGAGAAGGAAGAGGGTTGAGAAAGTGAAGGAAGGCGGGCTGAGGGGGAGAGAAAAGGAGGGATAAAGGAGAAGGGACCTGGGGAAGGAGAGAGACACGGAGAGGCAAATGGATTAGAGTGAGAATGAGGAGAGCTGTATGGGAAGGGAAGGAGAAGACACTGGATGAAGAGCAGTAGCCTTTCCTGAAGCTGGGGAGAGAGTTCTACAGGTTACTCCACCCAGCCACTGCAAGGCATCTGGGGCATTGGCTTGCAGGAGCCCTGGGCAGTTGTTCCTAGCAGATTCAGACCAGTGGGGAGGGACCAGGACCACCGGATTGTTCATACGGCTCCTGGGGCTCTCTCCTTTTGGTTTTTAATGTAGTGACCCCACGTTTTAGGAAAATCAGATTCCTCCTTCGCCCCATGTCTGGACTTGCCTTCCTGCCCTCTCCCCTCACCCAGTGGGGCCACCCCCTAACTCCTGCAGTGCCAAAGGGAAAATCAACTCCATCTCCAAGCTGCCAGTGCCCCTCTGCCATGTCTGGGCAAAGGCAGCAAGCTAGAAGCTGCCAGTTGGGGTGGGGTGGGGGCTGGAGGAAAGGCTTTGCCTCCTGCCAAATCCCCACTAGGGGTGGGCTGCTGGAATTTGGGGGAGAAGGAAAAAAGGAAAGTGAATCCGGGGACTCCCCCAGGGTTTCTGTGGATCAGGGTGGGGCAGGTCAGGTGCTGTCTCCTGGCTCCCAGCTGAAAGCTGGCGGGGAAGCTCCGCTCTCTTTCCTGTCGTGGCTCTCAGAACCTGGTCAGGGCCCTTCCAACTCCAGCTCTCTGGGAGTGAGAATGGAGGTAGAGGAGTAGAGACTGGAGGAGAAACCAGACTCCTCCCCCCTGGTTCCAGATAAGCACCCTTCAGGAGAGAAAACCATCCTCTATCGTGTGGGATCCTGTAAGGGTGCTTTCTCAGCTTCCTTTGGGGTTCTCAGTCTTATAACAAAAGAAGAGGAATCCCAACATTGCCTTCAAGAATTTCAGCTTGGGGGTACTTACTCAATGTCATCACTAGCCACAGTGGCAGGCATGGCTTTCAGGGGAGTTGAGAGCTTAAGGAGGGTCCACTGGGCACCAACCACACAGCTCCAGGCAGCAGCAGGTAGGCTGGAGAGTGAGGCTAGGACAAGCTGAGTTCCAACTGGCCAGTGTACTTATAAGGAGATTTGACCTCCTCTACCCTCCTCTCTCCGGATGTTAAGAGTATCCAGTGGGTTAATGGTTCATTGAGATGCTAGCTTGCCATCTCTTCTGACCTTTCCGATAGCAGGCCACAGGGTAGACCCAAGAAGTGTGATGAGTAAGGGGCAATGTTGGCAGCAGGTTGCCTTCCAAGTGTTAAAAATGACTGGGTGTTGGCTCAGGGACTGGCCAACCCTCTCTCCCTCCCCTCCCTCCCTTTCCTCTTTTGACATGGGAGGGAGCTCTCCAGGTACTCCAGAATAGTATATCTAGTAAAGCTATTGGTATTGAAGGGATCCTGGCCCAAGGAGGTTCCAATTTTTGAACTAGAGAAACCTCTAATCTGGTCTCCTCTTGACAGGTGATCAGGAAGGGCTTGGCCTCCTCTATGCCAGTTGCTAGGGAAAAAAGAGAGGAGCCTTAAAGTGCTGTGGGGTAGAAGGTTAGAAGCTGACCTGTGTATGAGTGGGGAAGGCAGGAGCCACTGAGTGACGACTCAGCTTGGGGCTAGGCCAGTAATTTTCCTTCTTCTCCCTTTCTTTCGTTTTTTGTTTGCTTGTTTGTTTTTCAAGACAGGTTTTCTCTGTGTAGCCCCAGCTGTACTGAAACTCAATCTGTAGACCAGGCTGGCTTTGAACTCACATAGATCCACCCACCTCTGCCTCACAACACAAGTGCTGGGATTAAAGGCCTGTGCCACCACCACCCAGCTTTCTTTTTCTTCCTTCTTCTTTTCTTTCTTTCTTTTTTCTTCTTTCTTTCTTTCTTTTTCTTTTTCTTTTTCTTTTTCTTTTTTTTTTTTTGAGAGGGGTTTCTCTGTGTAGCCCTGGCTGTCTCTGGAACACAGAGATCCAGATCCACCTGCCTCTGTCTCCAATGCTAATTCTTCTTTTATTGGGGGTTATTTAACTTAACCATTATAATAACTTTTAAAAACACCGACCCTCCCCATAAAAGCAGTAGTCCTCTTATATTTTTGGTTGTAAGGCTAGCCTTCAATGGCTGAGCCATCTCTCCAGCCCAGTAGTAGTCGTCCTCTTAAGGTTCATTTTTCTATTTCATCGTACCTTATTAGACAGGTGCTGTCCTTTTCCTGTTAAATGAGGAAGCAGGTAATTGGCTGATAAAGTCACTCCATCATACTATACTAGACTGAGTGATAGAGCAGGCATCAGAACCCAGCACTGTCTGACCTCAGGGACCATGTCCTTTTGACTGTGCCATGCAGGTACCAATCTGAGGGCTGTCTTGAGAGGAGGATTCAAAAGAGAAGAGACAGTTTGAGAGCAGGGTTAGTGTTGCAGAAGTTATGAGGCCTGTGGCTATGGGTACAGGGGTGGGGGTAGGATGGGGGGGCTAAGTCCTTCAAGATGTATCTTGAGACCTGTAGAAATTATTTTGGTACCTGAGGATTCCTAGCCCCTCTGCCACTGATGTGCTGTAAGCTGGGCCACGTGGCTTAATATCACTTCCCTGTATTCAAGGGAGGACAGATCCTAAAAGCACCTGGAAATCCCAGCTAGATTCTGGATTCCAATAATGGGGAGTTTGGAGTCACACAATGAGCATTAAAGTAGGAGTTAGAAGACATCCACCAAAGCAGCCGGACATATGATTCCCTCTACCCTGGTCCACAAAGTAAGTTCCTGGATAGGTTCTGGGGCCCAACCCTAGACACCCTTTGGGAGTGCTCTGTGGTATTGTGAGGAGGAAGGAAGAAGCTGATGGATGAGGACAATAGACACTTTCCCTT